TGGATGTATGCGTTATCGTATATCTGGACGACATCCTTATCTATTCCCATGACCTTGCGTCCCACAAGCAACACGTCCGAGAAGTACTCCGTCGACTCCGTAAACATCGTCTCTATGCCAAACCCGAAAAATTGACCTTTGGAAAGACATCCTGACCGCAACTTCCCAATGACCCTATTGCAACCAACCATCTTCCGGTACCTTCGGATCCGAGATGGACAGTGGACGATAGGGGTTTCCTCCGTTGTGACAACCGTATATATGTCCCAGAATCCGATAACCTTCGACTTCGCGTCCTCCGTAATACTCATGATCACCCCTTATCCGGACATTTTGGTCAAAACCGAACCCTAGACCTCATCCAACGCGAGTATACATGGCCAGGTATACGCACCTATGTTAAGGACTACGTCCGGTCCTGCACTACCTGCGCCCGAGCCAAGGTTCCGAGACATAAACCCTACGGATTGCTCAAGCAACTACCCATACCGGAAAAGCCTTGGAATTCCATATCCATGGATTTCATAGAGCAACTTCCGGACTCATCTGGCTTTACAGCCATCCTCGTTATCATAGATCGTTTATCCAAACAAGCAATATTTGTTCCGACTCACGATACCATTACCTCTCCGGATCTCGCTCGTCTATTCCTACTTCATGTGTTTTCCAAGCACGGAGTTCCGTCCCATGTCACCTCGGATCGCGGGTACAGAGTTTGTATCCCACTTCTTCCGATCCTTAGGAAAGGCATTGGATATGGTCCTCCACTTCACATCCGGATATCATCCGGAAGGGGATGGACAAACCGAGCGTGCCAACCAAACCCTGGAACAATACCTTCGGATATATTGCAATTATCAACAGGACAACTGGTCGGAACTACTTCCCTTAGCAGAATTTGCCTACAATAACGCTCCAAGTGCTACTACTGGAGTATCGCCTTTCTTTGCTAATAAGGGTTATCATCCGAACATATCCGTCCATCCGGAACGCGATCTATCCTCCATCCGCGCTCGCGACTATGCTATAGACCTCGACGACCTTCACCAATTCCTTAGAGAAGAAATGGCTCACGCCCAAGAAAGATATCAAGGACCTGCGGACGCTAAACGGAAACCTGCTCCGGATATCAATATCGGAGACCAAGTCTTTGTCAAGGCTAAGTACTTCCGGTCCACTCGTCCGTCTAAGAAACTCTCGGAAAAGAATCTAGGTCCGTTTGAAGTCATATCCCGTCCGGGTACCCATTCCTTTACCATCCGACTTCCCGAATCCATGAAATCCGTCCACCCCGTCTTCCATGTCTCACAGCTAGAACCATCCGTTCCGAACACAATTCCCAATTGGATCCAGCCTCCTCCACCTCCGGTCGAAGTCGACGGAGAACCAGAATATGAGATATCCGAAATCCTAGACTCTAAGCTGGACCGTCGTAGAAGACAATGCCAACTCTTATACCTCGTCCGATGGTCCGGATATGAAGGAACAGACGAAGAGACTTCATGGCTACTAGCCACGGAACTCGGAAACGCGTCCAATCTAGTCTCGGATTTCCACACTGCATATCCAGACAAACCCGGTCCTATTGCTATACAATGAATATACAAAGCGGATATACAAGTACATTAGTAGCAGAGAAGGCAGATCCGAAAATCCTCAGCCATCCATCTCCATGTCCCCACCCGATCCGGATCCGGATTCATCAACATCCTTGTCAGTGGCCTCAGAACGAGCCGCCTCTGTAATCCGGATTCCATTCCGGATCCCCTCAAGAAGGATGGTCTGGAACTCCCTCTGCTGCTCCAAAAACGCCTCCAAGTTAGTATTCATCCGCTCTATAGCAGTCCTACTCCCTTCCGCCGCTCCGATGCTCTGCTGGAGCAATCCGTTGGTCCGAGCCAGTTCCGCTACAATGCTATTAGCGGCCGCGACCCAGGCCTGATCATCATACTCCACTTCCACCTCATCCGCTACTACCGTCTTCATATCCGGATCCGGAGTCGGACTCTGCTGGCGCTTCTTACCCTTGCCTCTCGGAGATGGGTTCTCAGCAGCGCGCTGCCTCTTCTTAGACTTGGAATCCGTAACGGTTCCAGGTCGTCCGGGACAAGGAGCCTTGTCCTTCCGGCACGCGTTACAAGCCTTGATCTATCCGAATGTTAAGAGTCACGGATCCGATGATTCAAGGATGACTTACCAAGGAATTGCTATCCGCATCGGACCACAGACAGGCCCGACCCTTCTTAGCGCAGCGGGTACAAGCCCCATCCTTATCCGCTGAGATGGCGCGAGACTACAGATCCGATAAGGGACGGATCCGATAGAACAAGTCATAACTCACCATTTCCGCCACTATAGCCCTGCGCCTAGCCTCCTCCGCTTCCCTTCGGGCCTCAGCCCGTTCAATCTTCTTAATCCCTGCCAAGCGCTTCCGTTCCGCCTCTTCCGCTTGTTGCTTCAGCTTTTCAGCCTCTTCCTCCTTCCGAACCTCGGCCTCAGCAGCAGCCAGCGCGGCCTGGATATCCGCCAGAGTCTGCTTAGCGGTCTTCTTAGAGCCGGATCCGTTATCAGTCATGGTTGAGATAAGCTAGTGGTAGTGAAAAAGTAGGGAAAGGAAGGAACACCCTGCGACGCTTTGGCATCCGTATATCTGTCAGAATCCGAACTCAGCAACTTCTCCCATCAGCTTCTCCATTGTCTCGCACTCATACCATCCGTTCTGGATCGCTGATTCTTGTGCCTCTAGGGATTGGCCCCTAAGGGGGGGATACTGTCATACCATATATCCGGTTACAGATCCGATGATCTGGATCTCAGATCCGATCCAGATCCGATGAACATATCCGTCGTCCGGTCCACAGATCCGCTTTGATTCTGATTTCATTTCCTGTTCATATAACTCTAACTATCGTTCATCTCCTTTCGGTATTCCTGTACACCGGTATACCGGTTATCCTTTACTTCCGCTTTGCTTACTGATCCGCTACACTTACGAATCCGCTTTTACTTGTACTTCATTCCCGGTTCATGATTCGTGATCCATCCAACTTACCAATACGCTCCACTTAGACTTTGCTTATACTTTCGTACATAGCCTCGCACCTTTGCTTATTGATCATTCCGTTAGCTATCCGTAGTATATAAACCGTTGTATATGCGCTGTAGTAGATCAGTTCGAATATCATCTTAGATTGCACTCATTCCATCTGGACTCCAAGTCCCTCCGTTATCCGTCCGGACTTGAGTACGCTACTCTTGTCTACTCCGAGACTTAGGATAGATTCCTATAGTCTACATATCCGCCTCTGTCTTCGGACAGTCCTCACCCGTTAGTTTCTAGTCCGGATCCGATCCGGATTAGCCATTACTCTATATGTTCGATATCCGGAAGTCTTAACGGATCCATTACAAGACTTATCCGTTACGAGACTTATCCGTCTCACTAGACGCGATACTTTAGCTCTCTGAAATAAGGGGCAAGACTCGGGAAAGGGGCACAGTGCACGAGCTGAGGCCAAAGCCCTTCGGATCCGATACTACTTGAGTACGGTCTTAACATCAGATCAAAGAGAAAAAGGTGCAAGCGGTAATGCGTAGAGTTGGAGTCCCCTATAGTTCAAACCTAATGTCACAACCCTTATAACGAATTAACGTAGGGGCAGAGACTAGGACTCAAACAAGGATATCACAACAAAGAGGAAGGAATAGCAGGGACGTCTTAGGATTGCTAGCAGTGAGCTAATACAAAAGAGGTTTGAACTGGAGAACTACTGACTACAATGAGCTACCTATATACATATATTGAAACGGAGACTGAATCTGAGTATGAACTAACTAACCAATCATTAAATAGAAAAGGGAATCGTACGATGATCTAAATATAACTACACCTATGATGTCATGAAACGTGTGACGGCTGTGCAAGGGTTCTCGAAGGTTCTAGAGTCACGTGACTTGATCGCTTGAGTAAGGAAGTCGAAATCAGGAATGTCGGAGATAAAAGTAGTGGGCGCTAATGGAATAGAGAAGTTCGGGTTAGGGTTTGTGAAGGTTATAGGTACAGACGCTGACTGAGCGCTAATGACAGGCGCTTGTAACGGGCGCTTAATGGGTGTCTTATGAGTGTTCAAGAAAGAATAGTGATTTGTATTTGGAATTCGTGACAGATTATCATTGAATGCGCGGGCTTGCACCAATTAGAACATTTGAAATAACTATATGGTAACTAGTTCATTATTATGATTATATGTCAGTAGAATTGAGCCTCCCGACACGATTCCTGACCTGATTGACGGTGTACCTCTGATATATGACGCACAGGCAGCCATTGGGAGTTCTTAGCATTATTAGCATGGTAATTTCTGGGATCGAATTATTAGCGTGTTATTAGCTTGCTAATATCTCGCTAATTAGCACCTGGCTAATAAACAACGAGTTTTCTCCCTAACCCTAGTGACAACTCTTGAAGAACCTTCGTTCGAGTTTGTTCCGAGTCAACCCTTGTCAACCTTTTCTACGCAGGCCGCCGCGCCGGCCAAGTCACCTTTAACATCTCCACTTTTCCACAAGGAAGCGTGTTCGAGCAGGCAGGTATCCAAGACAGACGACTCCATCATCCACGTTGTCAGCCACAAGGTGCAAAAGTTAGGGTCCTACATCATCGTTTATATAAAAATAACTAGTAAAAACCTCGAGGCGTTGCAGTGCCGGTCCCTGGATCATATTCGGCAGAGTGGAATGAAGAAAGAATCAAATTATCCAATAAATCGACCAGTAATACTCCAAGCTTTGGTTCTGATCGGTATACCAAGATTGATCCTATGCTGAGCAGGCCCGAGTGTTATCTAAAGTTTATACGTCGTGATACTGCTGCTTTTTCATCCGTTCATTTCACCCCCGAATCACGGGCAGCCAAGTCGCGTGTGATGGTAGAAAATATCTTCTCGTGGCAAAGGTCGGCTTTCCGATCTCGGTCGAAGCAATAACATGAACCAAGCCCTCCCGCATCGCTGAACCAGTTAGCACTCGTGTGGACGATGCTGATTTGCCCTTGCTTGCAGGGCCAGATAGCCACAGCACGCGTGGAACGTCGTCTCCAGTGCTGTTTACCCAATCCGTGATCTGAAAGAGCATTTTCGTACACGTCTCTTGGAAGCATTTTTTCCTGGTATCAAGCCCTGCGTTCGTTGCGCAAGTTATAACCGAGGTCCAGTAGTTCACCTGAAAAGGAATGAATAGCCGTTGCGTCAGAAGCAAGTACGATCCTTACCTGTATGGTGCGTAAAAATAGCTACGTCCCAAGCAACTTGGTCCCGAAAGTTTCGCATGATGCCCATAATTATACTTCTGGCTGCAAGGGCGCTCCTCATTACCGTATCTCCTGCGAGTCATGCGTGAAAGCGCCAGATAGGCACCGCTCAAGATGGATGCTCTCCAATTAATGAGATGTCTTGCCGTGAGGTGTCCTGTGTGGCCTACGGCCCAAAGCACCAAGAAACGCAGCATGTAATGCAAAAATGATATCATACCTGCGGCCTACGAGAAGGTGGCGGGCATGACAAGACACGCGGTGGGCAACAAGGATGATGCAACATGACGGGGGCAGACAGACCTTTGGCGCTAAGATGTACGGCAGAATCTGTACTGACCGCACCCAAAGACTAACTAAATACCAGACTTTCTGTCCTGTTCGTGTTCTCGTTCGAATAGATAGTACTGGTGTTGATCATGGCGGGAAAAAGTAAGAATCTGGCGCCGTGTTGAGAAGGCGCTCACCACACCGGGATTTGAAGTCGTCAAACTTCGAGGTGATATGATGCACAGTATAAACGGCAGCTAGGTCACAGTCCAATCTCACACAAGCCCAGAGTCCTTGGTTGTAAATCGTAATTATTGGGCAGTGCATATTAACATTTTCCGTGGCCCACTTTGTCCTCCCCAACGCAAAAATAGGAAGGCTCGGCGTAGCGGTGTCTTCATTTCCGTTCCAAAGGCGTGTTAATGTGGGAGCATTCGTAATTGGAGGAGAAAAAACGAGGGTCTTGATGTCTGCGAAGTTTGACGCGTCGTAGTTTGGGAGGAATTGACAGTTGGTAGGAGCATAACGTATTTTGGTTTGTTTACACCCACGTAGAAATTGGATAGGGACGCGTCCGAAAGCCAGTAGTCACGGTTGTGCCATCGGAAACCATGTCACTAAAAGTACCAAAAGCTAACAACATCCAACTCTTCAAGGATGGCTACAAGGTATGCTTCATACGCCCGATCTTCGTTTACAACATCCGATAACACTCTTGTAGCACCTCCAGGGCATCGAAGATGCCGTCCTTCGAAACATAAATGCAGTCTCAGAGCTATCCGATCTCGTACGGACAAGCTTTGGTCCAAATGGTACGTGTTCTGCGCTTATAACGTGTCTATATTGACTCTCTGTTAGGCCGGAATAAACTCATAATAAATCACCTTGGCCGACTTTTCGTAACATCCGATGCCGCTACCATCATCAGGGAAATCGAAGTTGTTCACCCAGCAGCTAAGCTCCTTGTCATGGCCTCGCAAGCTCAAGAGTCCGAAGTATGTCCTTCATTTTATTTCGTTTCTTATCTACTTATTAACTTACATCCAGATGGGTGACTCTACTAACATGGTCATCATTCTCGCAGGAGAACTACTCAAGAAATCGGAGAATCTACTCGTGATGGGCCTCCATCCCAGCGAGGTCATCAAGGGATACGAACTCGCATGCGCCAAAGCCCTCGCGGAACTTGAAAGTGAGTCCCTCCCTCATCTTGTATGCGTTTTCTTATGAAGCGGCGCAGATCTATCGACATCTAGCCTACCGTCCCCTTTTACGCAGGAATCCCTTATTACAGCCCTCAAACCCGCGATCGCTTCGAAACAATACGGTTACGAGGACACATTATCGTCACTTGTGGCAGAAGCCGCGCTCGCAGTCATGCCCAAAAACCCGAAGAATTTCAACGTCGACAACGTCCGCGTCGTCAAGATCATGGGCGGCAGCCTTTCGGGCAGCAAAGTTGTACAAGGGATGGTATTTGGTCGCGAACCCGAAGGTAATTCTACTCAAATTCTCGATACAGCACTCACGCTCACATCCCCTCCCAAGGTATCGTCAAAAAAGTTTCAGGCGCGAAAGTGGCCGTCTTTACATGCGCCCTCGACGTCGCCCAAACCGAAACCAAAGGCACTGTCCTCCTCAAAAGCGCAGACGAAATGCTCAATTTCACGCGCGGCGAGGAACAACAACTCGAAAGGGTATGTTTTCCTCCATCCCATTACCTTGTACATCTACTAACTATCACTCAATAAACAGATCTTCAAGGAAATCGCTGATTCAGGCATAAAAGTTATCATTGCAGGCTCATCCGTCGGCGACCTAGCCCTACACTACCTCAATCGCTTCAACATCGCCGTTCTCAAAGTCCTCTCCAAATTTGACCTCCGCCGCGTAGCTCGCGTCGCCAACGCCACTCCTCTCGCCCGCGTCGGTGCACCCACCCCAGAAGAAGCCGGCTACGTCGACATCTTCGAGACAACGGAGATCGGTGGAGACCGCGTCACCGTCCTCCGTCAGCTCGCTCCCGGCGAGGACGGGTATCAAGGAGACGCGGAGAAGACGCGTACAGCGACGATCGTGCTTAGAGGGGCGACGGCCAATCATCTTGATGACCTCGAGCGCGCTATCGACGATGGCGTCAATGTCATCAAATCTCTAATAAAGGACGCACGGTTGGTTCCTGGTGCTGGTGCAACGGAACTGGAGCTGGCCAAGCGTGTTGAGGTATACGGGAGCGGGATGAGGGGGCTGGCACAACATGCTGTGAAGCGGTATGCTACCGCACTCGAAGTCATACCCAGAACGCTCGCTGAGAATGCGCTGGGAGGTGCTGAGGGTAACGAGGTTCTCAGTCGGTTGTGGGCCAAGCACGAACAGAAGGGCGGCGAAGCCTGGGGTGTCGATATCGAGGTAAAGTTCACCAGCTCTACATCATGACACATTGATTGATTGATTGATCGCATTCTAGGCTGAACAAGATGGCACTCTGCTAGCTACCGACTTCAAGATTCTCGACCCACTAGCTGCAAAACAGTGGGCGATCAAGCTCGCAACAGAAGCCGCCGTATCCGTACTTAGCGTCGACAGCATCATCATGAGCAAACCCGCAGGAGGACCCAAAGTCCCTCAACAAGCAAGTAACTGGGATGAAGATTAGGGTAGTGCTACGGGAGCATCTAGACTGCTTTACAGTAATTTTGCACAGATCAGAGAAGTCACGAGTAATGGGAATAAAAAACAGGTGAAGCCAAAAAGAACGTCAGGATGAGCAGCGAGAATACTGTGGGGAGTGTGGTACTGTACAATGTCCATGATAGATATCCGCGAACGGTCGTATGTGACCCAGAGAACGGAATGCAAAAGGATTATGACGACAACAAGGAGTCCGTTGTAGATGGGGGGGGGTTAGGTGTGACCGTATACATGAGCGTCCATGGTCTATGACTCATCGCCTGCAGCTGGAGAGTCTATCTCCTCTTCTTCGTCCTCCTCGAGGATAGGCTCCTCCATTTCATCCTCTTCTACGTCATGGTCGGCTTCAAGCTCATCATCAAAGATTACATGGAACTGCAGCGAGTATCAGTGAAGGAACGATGAATGGTGTGACACCACGTACATGAGTGATTAGGGCTTTCACGAGTTTGTGGGTATGTCCCATGTTCGACAAGATCAGGGCAAAGTCATTCTGCGGTGCACGAAGGAGGTTGGGGCTGAAAACGATTGCAAGGGCTTCAGCTGTCATTTGGTTGTGTTCCTCGTAGTCGGTTACTCTGGAGTAATAGCATCAATATCATATAGCTGACGAAAGAAACAGGAACAAAAACTCACCTATCGAGATGTTCGGCAATCCTCTTCAAAAGGTCAAAGTTTGCCTGAGGAAGCCCGTGCACGACACTTCGGATACATGCAAGCCGCGAATTAAGATTCTCGAGCTCTGCAAGAACATTAGCATCGAAAAATACCATTGATGGGATAGAATTTACTCATTGCCTCAATAACATTGAAATAGGACGACGATGGGAAGACAGGCTCGGGGAGTAACCTGAACCATGACTTGATCAAGTCGCATACGGCATGGATATCACTGTCGGGGGTAATAGGCCACTCGCCTAGCGAATTATCAGTTAATTACATACAGCCCATTCCAGATAGGAACCATACCTCTGTTGAAGGCGTCGCGGAGAGCGTTAACTTCAGAAGTAGCACCAGCAACACGATCTGCAAAAAGTCAGACCTCTGCAGGAGAAAACGACGAAAGAACATACAGATGCCAACTTCATCAAGGCCACGATACTCGACTTCAGACAGGCAAGTCAGAATAACCGACGGGAGCGAGCCAATCTCGGGCTGCGCTCCATTAGCTTCACGCTGGAGGAGGAACTCCAGTTCGACAGCAAAGACTAGAAACGTATGAGAGACAGGACACGGAGGACATGGAACACCTTACCAGCTCTAGGATCCCGCGAAGCTGTGGTAGCTGATGGATGGTCATGGATATGGTCTGCAAGTTGCGGCTTTGGTGAATTTCCAAGATACGTCAAGCGGCGTTTAGCAGCAAGTTTCGCAACACGATTGATTTGCTCGATCCATCGTACCATCTCTTGTTTAGAAATAGCCTGCAGTAAATAATGTCCGCCGTCTTCGGTGTCCAGCTGGAATGTGAACGACCTCTCGTTATTGATAAATTGGGCAACTCGAGCGTCAACGACTGAAAGAACCAAAGAAGGTTTACCAGAGGGCGAGAAGTCCAATTCAGCGGGCGATCGCTTCAATGCCGTAGCGTGCATGCTATCAGTAAATGCACTAGAGATAGGCCTCATCAATTGGAAAAACGCTGAGGAGTAGCTCTTCTTCATCCGTGTGTTGCTTCTGAACCTGAGTCATCGGCTTGCGTGACCGCATGGCCTTGTTAATTTGATCATCTCTCCGCTCATTGCGCAATTGCTCCTGCTTTTTGTCCTTGCTGAGCCGGTCATGGAGATACTTGTCTCGCTTGCACTTCTCTTGTTGCGCCGCAACTAGCCTCTGGAACGGGCGTACGGTCTTCTTGACAGATGCCGAACCATTGCATTGAGCTTGCAGGGCCTCCCGCTGGGCATCGTCTCTGATACTCCGGTGGTCGAGCGAGATCAAGTTCATCTCTCTCTCGATGTTGTTCAACCGTTCAAAGTCTTTCCGGTCGACCTCTTCGCGGGGACGGCTCCTCTTCGAGAGCGATGGAGTAGTCAAAATGAGATTGCAAAGGTGCCTTAGGAACCCGTCAGCAGACCGTACCTCGGAATCGTAAATCACTTTACCTGCGTTTATCCAAGTTGATGATGCACTGATCGTTCTCGCCCGACGTCATAACCACATTTGGTATACTCACCAATTCGAGTATACGCTCCAAAATCCAACTAACGTCGATAGCGAGGACATCTCCGTATGATTTTTTGGGTATAGCCGGTCTTGAGAGAAGCCCTACAAGGCTATCGCACTGAACCCCCCGAAGATTCGCAATATTTTGCCATGGACGATGATGCATACGGCTCTCTGAACTAACAATGGCCGAAGTTAGGACAGCTTCGACGAAAGACCGGACACAAGGTCGGTCCCCACACCCGAAGGATGCAAAACCACTGTCCATGCTCCTTAGACGGGCAATCTCGATGGCTCGAAGGAAAAGGTCCATTCTTGCCTGCCGTAGTCTGATTCCCAATTTCGGTGCGACGAGCTTCGAAATCGTCCCATTTCCGAAGGATGTTAAAGGCACGGATACAGCTGCGGATGCTAGGCGGTAGGAGACGATAGATAGTGTCCTGAGAAAGCTCGGATATCAGCGAAGATGGCTGAACGTCCGTCATGTGGGAATACATGGACTGGATGTCGATGTCATCTGTCGATGGCACTTCCCGAGCTGAAAACCACCCAGTACGATCTGCGCTTTGCACCTCTAACAGATCAGCGGTGATGAAGAGGTCCTGAAAGGAAATTGAGCGCCCATATCGGAAATTAGTAAGGGGAGGACCAACCTCCTCGCTTATATACTCAACGCCGCAGCACCCATAGCGTTTTAAATTCTCGACGAGCTCATCAGCACTGATCGCATCGAGGTCCGGTGGTTGATTACCAAAGGATCGCCACCCGAGGAGTCGACTTCAGCGGTCGGGCAGTAGCTAAGAAGACAGACGGAGGGCGTTGAGTCTGCGTGGTAAACGCTGTATGTGTGATTTGACGAGCGCTGTCCAGAGCGTCCCAAGCTTGGCCGACGTCATTTTCGACCGTAGTTGGAGTATCAAAAGAAGAGCGATCTAATGGACTGTCCAGGAAGGACCGCACAGCTTCAAATAGCTGAACATCATCGAGACAGTCCTGGGCTCCTCCTCCAGACGTTATCCAGTCCTTGATCGCCTCTAGCACTTCCGACCGAAACTGATGACGTGAAGATAACTATTTGCGGAAGGCTGGCTGGAAGGTCGACTGCTTAAAAAGCGTTTTACGAAGTAGCTATAGAATATATGAATTAGGTCATCCCAAAACGCGGAAATGAGATTACCATACCTCAAAAAAGACGATGGGCGTCACAAAACTGCGGAACACATGCCACCACACTCGCGCAAACTCAGAACCGATCAACGACAAGGTCCCTGGTCTGCCGTCCCTTAGAGACGTCTCACCATTATCATCAGCCACAGCTACTGAAACGCCCTGAAGGCAATGTACGAGGACATTGGACCAGGCGGTCTATAAAGTTACAGCTTGCACGATGACGCGAATGGGCCTCTCTGACGACACTTCTGTCACCATAGCATTTGGTCGAGAAGATATAGAAGCAACGAGCTCGGCGTTGCAACGCTGCTCTTCCGCTCGAGACCCTGAGACGATCCAGGCTTTACACGGATAGAAGGTGAACGCGTCATAGGTTTGTCGAGATTACACCCCTCCACTACAGAACTCGGGGGTCTGGATGGTGCACGAGAAGGAGGCCGGATGAGGATAGTGGATCTAGGTCGCTGCGAGCAACGAGGAGAAGTTCTCCGTCATAAACAGGAATGGCAGTCTCCCGAATGTCGACGTCGCCAATGTTGAATAGCTTATCTTTACTGGGGAGGCATCCGCCCTGCGAGATGCCGGAGTCAACGTCACATCAAGTCCGCGGAGACGCTGGAG